GGCCTAGACCCTTCATCAGAAGGGTCTAGGCCCGAAACGTCAGCCTCTCTGCTCCTATGATGCTGCTTGGCCTGCTGTGTTCATCCAGCCCTGCACCTTGTTGTCTCGGATTCTCCAGCATCTGCAGTTCCTACTATCTCCCACCGAAATTCCTTCTCAGCTGAGTCTAAATGGCTGTGCCCCTTATTCAGAGTAGATCATGTCATATTAAAGTAAAACACTGTGGACATTGGAAATCTGAAATAAAACCGATACAGCAGGCAGTGAAGAAAGCAAATGGCCTTCATAGTGAGAGGGTTCGGGTTTGGCTGTGATTATACAGGGCCTTGGAGAGACCACACCTGCAGTATTGTGTACAGTTTTGGTCTCCTTATCAGAAGGAGGATGTTCTGGTGATGGAGGAAGTTCAACAAAGATTTACCAGATTGATACCTGGGATGATAGGACTGACATTTGAAGACTGACTGGATTGGTATCTGGACAATATTCACTGAAGCTTAGAAGAACGAGGGCGCATCTCATAGAAACCTACAAAATTCTAACAGAATTAGACAGGGTAGATGCAAGAAAGATGTTCCCAATGAGAAGAGAGTTTAGAACCAGGATCATAGATTAATAATATGGGTGAGGCCATTTAGGATGTGGATGAGGATAAATGTCTTCACCCAAAATGTGGTGAGTCTGTGGAATTCTCTGCCATAGAAAGCACTGAGGCCAAAGTACTGAATGTTTTCAAGAAGGAGTCAGATACAGTTCTTACGACTAAAGGGATTAAAGGGTATAGGGAGAAAGTGGAAACAGGGGACTGAGTTGGATGATCAATCATGGTCATATTAAACGGTGGAGCAGCACTGAAGGGCTGAGTGGCCTACTCCTGCTCCTATTTTTAATGCTTCTGTGAATCTTTGTTGCAGTCCCTCTCTGGCAAGTGTACTTTTCCATAGTTACAGACACCAGAACTGTATACAATATTCCAGGCGTAGGTGACCAAGACTGTATATCATCACATACCCCCATTAGAATGGTCAATCTGTCAAAGGGCTGTTAAAAATTTTGGAATTTAAAAATTCCATACCAGGGATGTCAGCGTGCCTGTTGACATAAGCCATTACAGGATTTGCTCATTTGCCAACGTACACAATAAGGTACTTCTCAAATGAGTCTATCAAAGTTCTAACTGCCTCTAGAATAAAACTGTTTGCATTCATAAAAGATTAAGTAACTGAGTGAAACATTTGTTTTCATAGAGATTAATTGAAAGGATTTGAACTTTTTTAGATCAATAATAATGTTTTTAATAGTGACTTGGATGATAAATGCACAACTTTATTTTATGTTAGCATGGCTCATGAGGCTTGCCAAGGGTGGATACTAAGGGATTTCACTTGGAATAGGAAGGGTGTTGGATGGGGTGGCTTGGGCTGGCATTAAGTTCATGGACATTTTATTGGTCCATGGTGATGACCAGGGTGTAGGTTGACATGCAGGTATGAGAGCCCACGGCTGGGTTGGGGAGTGGGGGGGGCGGTGCTGGAATGGAGAGTATGAGGTGGAATGGGTGAGTATGGATAGGGTTGGGTTTTTTTTTTGGGGGGGGGTTGTGTGTGTGAGTGGTGTGGGCTGTAGGTTTTATTCTTTTTATAAACGCTGTGCCCAGACTGCATCTGCAACCATCAGCCTCTGCTCTTGTTCCAGGATCATCCAGCATGTCTCCAAGAGAACCCTGCCATCCAAATGAAAATCCAAACTCCTGGGCCTGAACTTCCTGGGTCAGCATTACAGAGCTAGGAAGCATCCTATCTCTGTCCCCCTCACCCGGGAACAGAAATCTGGACCACCGCTGCTATTGCTATTCTCAATCTTAGAAACAATTAAAGAAGCTCTCATAACCTGATTTCAGATTTCTAGTTGATTTACACCCTCGATTACTGTTGAATGTTTTTGTCATTGTTTGCTAGTTTAGATGTCTGTATACAACTGTGTTCTCTAAAGACACATATTTTTATTTCTCTGTATTTTTGATTGTGGGCTGAAATGAGAAAAGAACTGTTTTATAAACCGAGGAATGTGGAAAGGATTGCTGTACTTTTATAAAACAAATAGCCTGACCCTCACTGTAAGTGCTGTTTACACAGCTGCTTGTTCAAGCAGTGGCAGGAGGTTCCTGCAGATGAGCTGGAGCCAGGGGTTGGGTATAAAGCTAGATTCAGCCAGTAACAAGTAGGTGATTGGTCTTTGGAGTGGCGATGAGTTGTTGACGACAAAGGATTTCTGCCTGACAACAGTGATGTGATTGGCTCTCAGGCAGAGAAACAGCTTGTGGATGTGAACATGGTCAGCAGTTTTGGAACTTCAGAAAGAGGGGTGGTGTTTCCCACTCTCTCTATTCAAAAATACTGAAACCTGAAATAAACCAGGTACTCTCCTTCAGCTGCAGTCAGCATATGCTTTTAACCAATAAGTAGAAACTCTATAAGTTATGAACCAGTGCTCTGTGCCTCTTGCAATCAAATGAACATATCTGGAGAAGAGAGGCAGCGGAGCAGCAGGTCCTGACAAGAAAAATGACTGTCTCGGTGAGCATTTGGAAATGCTGGTTTTGGACTCGGGTGGACAAAGCCAGAAGTCACAGAGACACCAGGTTATAGTCGAACAGGTTTATTTGAAAACACAAACTTTCAGAGCACTGCTCCTTCATTGACTGAAGTTAAGGAGCAGTGGAATGAAAGCTCGTGATTGGACTATAATCTGGGGTTGTGTGATTTCTGACCTTCTCAGTGAACCGTGTGGACAGGGACCGTTGAACTGGCTTCTCAGATTTCTCCTCCACTATTAATGTCTATGTTTTGTTGTCTGTCACATACACATACACATACACATACTCATACACATACGTGTGTGTGGCGGGGGGAGGCCTTAAAGGGGATTTAGAGTTCTAATGAGTAGAATTATTTGTTGAAAGTCCATAATTGCTTACTTGCAGTTAGAATCTATTATTCTGACTATACTGTAGCTAGAGTATATTCATTTGGAATAAATTGTAATTCTTGTTCAGTATAGAAACCTGGTCTTCGTTTTCTGTCGACCAGGATCAAATTGACAGGGAAACTGCGGAATTTTTGTGACATCAGCAGGATATGGTTTCTGGTGTGTGACCTCAGTGGTAGGTGACAATGTTTGAGAGGGCTTGTCTGGGATCGATTTTGAAACAGAAGTAACAAGGGTTTGGCTGAGGGACTAGTAAATAACACAGGTAAAAGAAATGAGAATGAGAAAACTAGAATGGGAACCACAAAGAGAACAGAAAGTGAGGGAGGCTGAGTCATACAGTACATCAAGCCAAAAATTATTCTAAATTTACACTAGTCCCACTTTTAAGCACCAGGTCCATAGCTTTGAATGTTATGACATTCCAAGTGCTCAACCACATAACTTTTAAAGGTTGTAAGGTTTCCAAACTCAATTACCCTCTCAGACAGTGCATTCCAGACCCCCACCAATTAGATACAGAGTAAAAACAGGTGGGAGTAATTGACCTGCTAACGGTTATTTCCATGAGGTAACAGCAAGCTTCGATGAAGGGAACGTAGTTATGTGGTATACCCAGACTTTCAAAAGTCCATTCTGACTTGGAAGTATATTGCCATTCCTACAATGTGTTTGGTCAAAATCCTGGAGCTCCCTCCTTTACAGAACTGTGGGCATCCTACAACCTAAGAATTGCAGCCGTTCAAGGAGGTAACGCCCTGCATTTCACCATAAAATTATTCCCCCTGGCCCTTTGACTAAGGGGAACTGCCACTTTCTATTCACTCTGTCCATACCCCTCATAATCTTATATACCTCTACCAGGGCCCAAATCAGCCTGAGAATCAAATATAGAATATTCTTTATTGCCACTTGTACTTCAGTACAGGAGTACAGTGAAAAGTTTTTACAATGGCTGCCTTTTAATGGCACCATCTTTATACAAGACGGTTGAAAGGTAAGGATTTACATTACAGTTTGGTAAAAGTACTGAACAGCAGCAGCTCTGCACATGGTCAAAGTCCAGCAACTGTCCTGCATCATACCAGCCTCCAGTCTTCTCCTCACCGGCACTCAACAGCAACAACGTAAGTCGTGCTTTACCCAGATTCGCCTCTCTTGCACTACTCCGGGAGTTGGGATTCCCCATGTGTTGCTCCAGGGCTCACAGCCCATGCTGCTCCAGGGCTCACACCCCACGCTGCGCCAGGGCTCACAGCCCATGCACTGTACTGGCTCGTTCCCCAGGCTTGCACTCCAGGACTCACTGTTCTGAAGACTTGCTGCCAGTGCCTGGACACAGTGCTCCAGCTGGGGCCTAACCAAAGTCCTGTACATCTCCAACATAACTTCCCTGCTCTTATAATCTATGCCACAACTGATAAAGACAAGAATATAAGATTAAAATGATGCAGTTATAACTGGAGATGTCAGACACTGATGTAGGCTCTAGTTGGGAGACTGAGTTATAGTTTGAAATCCAGTAATGAAATGTTAAAGTTTGATTTGATTTGATTTATTATTATCACATGTCCTGAGATACAGTGAAAAGTATTGTTTTGCATGCTATCCAAACAAATCACACCTTATGTAAATACATCAGCATAATAGAACAGAATGCAGAATATAATTTTACATCTACAAAGGAGGTGCAGAGAAAGATCAACTCGAATATATGAGAGGTTCATTCACAAGTCTGATAACAGTGGGGAAGAAGCTGTTCTTGAATCTGTTGGTATGTGTCTTCAAACATCTCTGCGATGGACTGGGCTGCATTCAAATCTTTCTGTAATTTCTGCAGCCTTGGGTAGAGCAGTGCCATCACTCAGCCAACCTACCATCCACTGACTCCATCTAAACTTCTCATTGCTGCGGAAAGGCAGCCAAAATTATTAAAGACCCATCCCACCCCGGTTATACGCTCTTCCAACCTCTTCCATTGGAGATACAAAAGCTTAAAAAACATATACATGGAACATAGAACAGTACAGCACAGTACAGACCCTTCGGTCCACGATGTTGTGCCGACCTATGATCAACCTACCCTGCATATCCTACATTTTACTACCCTCCATGTGCCTATCCAAGAGTCGCTTAAAAGTCTCTAATGTATCTGACTCCACTACCACTGCTGGCAGCGCATTCCACACGCCCACCACTCTCTGTATAAAGAACCTACCTCTGACATCTCCCCTATACATTCCTCCAATCACCTTAAAATTATGCCCCCTCATGATAGTCATTTCCGCCAACAGGTTCCAGAACTGCTTCTTCCCTGCTGTTATTAGACTTCTGAATGGACATCTCAAATTTTAAATTTAAAATTGATCTCGCTCTCTGTAGCTTTCCCTGCAGCCATAACATTGTGTTCCTCGCTCTGTTCAATCAGCCTGTGATCTTTGTATGGTATGATCTGCCTGTACTGCATGCAAAACAAAACTTTTCACTGTGCCTAGGCACATGTGACAATAATAATCAAAAAAATACCAAGCTGTGAAGCAGTGGGGAAAATGCTAGAGACCATTAGAAAAGATATAATAACAGGACACTTGCAGAGTTTTAAGACGATTAGACAAAGCCAGCATGGGTTAAGGAAAGGAAGGTCATGTTTAACTCATCTTCTGAATTCTTGAGGAGGTAACTGGAATAGATAAGGGAGAATGGGTGGATGTGGTGTATTTGGATTTTCAGGAGACTTGATAAGTGTCCTCATAAGGGGTTAGTAGGGAAAGTTAAACCACATGGACGGGGAAATGTATTGACATAGATAGAGAATTGGTCATCAGACAGGAAACAGACAGCAGGAATAAATGGGTCTTTTTCTGAGTGGCAGGCAGTGAGTAGTGGGGCATTGCAGAGATCCGGGCTTAATCGCTAGCTATTGATGATGCATATATTTAACTTGGACGAGGGAACCAGATGTAATATTTCCAAGTTTGCTGGGAGACTGGATTGTGAGGAGGATACAAGGTGCCTTCAAGGTGACTGAGACAAGTTGAGTGTATGGGTATAAACATGGTGGACTCTTGGACAGTTCCTACAGATTGGAGAGTGGCATGGAGAAGATGCTGAGGAAATTGAAGCTCAGTTGTATGAAGGCTCCAGGAAGAGACTATTAGACTTTCAAGACTGGAAGTTAAAGACAGAATTAAACTAAACTCTTTGGGATGACTGAGAAGGGAATTTTCTATGATGTGAGTACTGTAAATGGGTTTTTTGGGATTAATAGAATTGTGTTTTTACTGCATGTTTCAAAACCTTGAAATTTGAGTTAAGTATAAATATCTGGGTCTATTCTATTTACCTTCATTTATTAATAAACTCCTGTTATATTGTTCAATCCAAATTTGCAGCGTTGCAGTTTGAGTTTTCAGTGAAAGACCACCTCAATTAGACAAAAAAAATCCAAATATAGTCTATCAGATCAGACTTCAGTCTAGGCTCTGACACATCTAGAAATAACTTGGGCTGGGATCATAAGAAGTGGTGGCTTTTGCCAAGATTTTTGAATTCACTGGCTTTATGAGGGATCTGTGTCTTGCTTTTAAAGCTAACAGCTTTGTGGTTGTTCTGGATATAAAGCTGCTGTACTGTAGTGAAGTTTATTGACTGGGAATTTGAAGATGGCTTTGAACATTGCCAAAGTGCTTTCTGGAAATAAAAGATATAATGGTTGATTATTTGAAATTTTTGCAGCGGAAGTAAAAGTAGGATTTTGTAAAGGTGGTATGCTCCATGTGATGATCCAATATTTAGAACTGGAATAAAGGAAGCCCGAAACTGGGGTGTCACAACTGGAATTAGCTGAGGTACATTGGTTGGTTTTCACCTTTATCTTGTAACTTTTAAAATTTCCCCGTAAAAAGACACCAAACAAGAGATGGAATCATGCCAGAGTTGCATTGAGGAATGGGAATGGTAACTGAATCCTCTGAACAGACTGAGTTTTGTGTTGCTGTTTGTGGATATGGCCCCTCTCCCTCAGCACCCCCCGTGAAGCTCTCACTCACCCTCGTGCTCCAAAGCTCCCATGTACTCTGTGAATATTTGCTCTCTCAGTTCTTTCTTCCTAGCCACCTCTGGATTCTCAGTCACAGGGGGTGGCACTGAGGGGGTTACAGCCTGCTGGCCTAGAAAGATATACAAAAATACTGAGAGTCTTAGGTGGATTCAAGAATTTTCTGGATCCATACACAAGAAATCTAATAACCTTGTTGTTTCATCACAGGGGAAACTCACCGAGCCACTGAGCACAGAATCTTACAATTGTTACAATGCAGAAAGCCATTTGGTCCATTGTCTCTGTGCTGGCTCTCTGAAGTAACAATTCAATTCACCAGCTTTAGGAAATGGCATGGACAGTTAAGGAGATGTGCTCAATTCAATCCCCAAGATGTATTCTCAATCCAATCCTCTTCTCATTCCTAAATCCATCACACCATCAGATTCCCAGTCCATTCTCACCACCTGATTCCAGTTAAATTCCCAGCACCAGATTTGCAATCTGCCTCACTACCAGATTCTCAATCCATTTCCTCCACCAGATTCCCAATCCAATCCCACCACCAGATTCCCAGTCCAATCCCACCACCAGATTCCCAGTCCATTCCCAGTCTAGTTTGTTTCCAGTTTCAGGGACAAGCACCTTTCTTTTTATCTGCTGACTTCCCTCCCTTTTTTTTGGAGTCTCTTCCAGCTGACTTCTGCAATTCTTTTTCCTTTTCTTCTTTCAACTTCTGTTCTTTTCTCTCCTCTTCCTCGTTTATTCTCATTTCTGTTTGAATCTAAATCCAAGGGAGAATGAATAGAAAACAAAAGGGAAACTGTAAATTAGTTGTGTTTGATTGCTTGTGGATTGTGATCATTACTGAGCAGTCACTTGACTCCCTAGAAACAAAGATCGAAATTTCAGCTGCTAGTTTCAGAGGGATTGTGTTTGTAATTCTGCAAATGTATACTGAGAAAGATGTGTAAAGATTGTCTGCAGCACTAAGCTTCAATGAATGTACAGCGTGATAGCAAAGGATGGATTACCTAAGAGACATTTGGAAGGTAAGACAAACTTATCATAAGGAAATCTACAAAGCAGCAGCCATTATGAACAGTGGGAGGAGGTAAGTAAATTGTCAGGGTCTCATGTTCTTAGAGTCTGAAGCAGTGAAAAAAATGAAGTGTGAGAGGTCACGTCCCCATCAATTCACAAAGAAATAACAGCCAAAGGAGATCATTCGGTACATTGTGCCTGTACTGTTTGAAGGTGAGTGGTCTAACCTACTCCCACTTTCCACAACTATATCCATAACCATGCAGCTCACAGCTCTTCACAAAGACATATCCAAGGCTCTTTAAATGTGATGTGATTTTCTGTATGTCTTATCTTTTTAGGCAGTGTGTTCTAGATGATCACTACCCCCGGATGGAAAAATGTTTTATCAAATCATCCAAACCTTTACCAATCACTTTAAATCTGTGTGTCCTTGCCAGTGACCTCTCTGCTAAGGTAAATAGTCCTTTATCATCCACTCTATCCATGAGTCTCATAACTTTGTTCATCTCAATCAAATTATTCCTCAGCCTCCAGTGTTCCAAGGAGAGCAACCCCAGCCAATCTAACCTTTCCTCCTCAATCTTCAATCAGGCAGACCATTTTTTATGTCAACTGTAAACTTTGCTTGCATGCCCCCTATACTTAAACAAATCATTCATTAACATTGTGACACAGGAGCTAAATACTGAAATGTACAAAATCCAAGTTGAAACAGCCTTCCAGTCACAAAAATAGCTATCAGCTATTGTCCTTTGTTTTCGGTCACTTAGGCCATCATGAATCCAATTTGTTGCTTTCCCTGGGATCCCTTTTACTTCTTCGACAAGCCTGTGAAGTAGATGTTGTCTGAAGCATTCCAAAAGTCAACATAAACCACATTCAACACACTATCTACTCTATGCAACATACTCCAACAAGAAACAAGAATCTTGAACTGAAACAATTAAAAAAGAGGACTAGCTTTGGTTAGTTGAGTAAATAGACCAAAAGGTATGGAGGTTAAGTGAAGTTGGAAGTTCAGCATTACCTTCTTGCAGTTGTCCTCTATGCCCTCTGTACAGTTCCAATGTGACCTCCCTGGTTATATATTATGTATGCCATGACTAATAAAAGCAAGTGCCTTGGTCTAACTCAGAGCTCAAAGTCGGTGACACTGAAGGAACGGTGACATATTTCCAAGTGGATTGGAGGGAAAATACGGGGGTGGGGGGGGGTGGATTTCCCATTGATCTGCTGCCCTTGTCCTTCTACTTGCAAGTGTTCATGGGTTTGAAAGATGCTGTCTGAAGATCTTTGGTGAATTTCTGCAGTACATCTTGTAGATAGTACACACTGCTGTTACTGAGCGTCGGTGGTGGAGGGAGTGGATGTTTGTGGATGTGGTGCCAATCAAGCGGCTGCTTTGTCCTGGATGGTGTCAAGCTTCTTGAGTGTTGTTGGGGCTGCACCCATCCAGGCAAGTGGGGAGTATTCCATCACACTCCTGAGTTGTGTCTTGTAGATGGTGGGCAGGCTTTGGGGAGTCAGGAGGGGAGTTACTCGCCGCAGTATTCCTAGTTTCTGGCCTGCTCTTGTAGCCACTGTGTTAATGTGGTGAGTCCAGTTGAGTTTCTGGTCAATGAAAACCCTCAGGATGTTGACATTCAATGGCATTACCATTGCTATCGAGGGGCAGTGATTAGATTGTCTCTTATTGGTGATGGTCATAGCCTGGCATTTGTGTGGCACGAATGTCACTTGCCACTTGTCAGCCCAAGCCTGGATATTGTCCAGATCTTGTTGCATTTGAACATGGACTGCTTCAGTATCTGAGGAATCGTTAATGGTGCTGAACATTGTGCAATCATCGGCGAACATCCCCACTTCTGACCTTATGATGGAGGGAAGGTCATTGATGAAGCAGCTGAAGATGGTTGAGCCTAGGACTCTACCCTGAGGAACTCCTGCAGAGATGTCCTGGAGCTGAGATGACTGACCTCCCACGACAAACAGCATCATCCTGCGTGTCAGGTATGACTCCAACCAACAACAAGTTCACCCCCTGATACCCATTGTGACCTGGAACATCAAGTGCTCATGTGTAATCCAGGAGTGACAGACCTGAAGGTTGCATTACTATCAAAGCCCAAACTGTAATGTTAGGACATTGACATCACTGTCTAAAGTGGGACTTGGTGGGTAGGGGAAAGGATACACAAAAAACAAAGTAGTAGAGACACTGACTTATGGAAAGGCAAATTGAGGAAGAATGCCAACTCCATGGGTTGGTTTCATCAGAAAATATGAAGCAGCTGGCCGGCTCAGCAAGCCTCTGTGGGATGTGTGAATTCCTCATGACACAGTGTCTCGTTGGAACCCAGGAGATGTACACCACATTCAATGGTGTAAATGCCCTAACCCTAGAAGTGACAGATGACTCCAGCCTTGATCCATTGTGTCCTGTGTCCCAAAGGGAGACATGGGACCTCCTTGGTGAGGTCAATGCCAGAATTGGGACAGATACAAATCTCTGAAAAGGCATGATTGATGTGGAAGGTGTGGAGAAGGCAAACAGCAATGGAGTTGTGACAAACTGCCAACAGCAAGGCCTGGTCTGTTTCATCAGAGAGACAATACAATATCTCGGGACAACATCATCACCCTGCACATTTGCACTCACTTCACTACATCATTCTCTGAGTATGAGACCACAAAGGTTTTCACTTCAGCTGTGCCACGAACCTGGTGACTCCTGGAGCAATCACCTGCCGACCTGGTCCACTGTCTTCATTAACCTGCAGCAAACAAGTTAGCAGGAGCACTGCTGCAGGAAATCCTACACTGATGGAATTGAGGATTCTGCAGTAAAAGACCCACTCAGCCAGCTCCTCACAGCCAACCTAGTGACTCCCAACAAACAGAATATTCACACCATCTTAAAGCATCACAAACAGCATCTGCAAGGGGCTCTTGGTTTGTCTGTCAGAAAACATCAAGACTGGTTTGATGATAATACCCACAAGATCCAAGGAGCAAGCTATTCCTAAATTGGAAACAACACCAAACCTTGAAAAACAAGTGAAGGTCAAGATCCAACAAAAAAATACCTGTGACGTAAAGAATAGATGCTGGATGAAAATGGCTGCAAGAAGTTCAGTAACTCACCAACAGCTGTGATGTGCATGGAATCTTTAGCTCAGTCAGGAAGTTCCACAGCAGGAACCTACCACACTGAGAATGAAGAAAGGAGTGTGCTCATCAAGGTCAGAGACACAGTCACAGCTTGTTGGAAAGTGCCTGTCTCCTGAAATGAAACATTGCCCTTGACTTTAGTGGCCTTGATAACAACGCCCTGCAGCTCAGCACAACCCGTTCAGCATATCGGTAAAAAAGCCTGTATACTAACTGAGAACCAAGCCAGCTGCTGGTTCCTGTGAAATTGCTGCCAAATACTGAAATATGGCACAGAAATACTTTCAGCATAAATACATCACAAATACAACATGTTCTGAAAGTAGAGTCACTGGACTCTAAATGTTAACTCTGTTTTCTCTCCGAAGACGCTGCCAGATCTGCTGAGCTTTTCCAGCAATTTCTGTTTTTGAATCTGATTAGCAGCATCTGCAGTTCTTTGAGGTTTTTTTGGGTCAATGATATCTATGTTGTTGTACCAACACTCTTCTCCCTCTTCCTCATCACAACATTCTGGCTGGTATCCAGGGAGCTTCCTCCTGAAATGGTTCTTCCTCAGAGGATGAAGGTGGAACTGTTCAAGCTGTATTACCTCCAGTCCAAAGCCAAACCCATGCCTTTTCTGTGTGTGCACATTCAGAGGCTGAGCTCCAAACTCCTCACAGGAGGAGGCACATTAGAGATGGGCAAGGACCTCTTGCAGAGATAGTAGGAACTGCAGATGCTGGAGAATCTGAGGTAACAAGGTCAAGACTCGAAACGTCAGCCTTCCTGCTCCTCTGATGCTGCTTGGCCTGCTGTGTTCATCCACCTTGTTATCTCAAGGACCTCTTACAGCCTGCACCTGATGGGGAATACTGTCCCCTGGTGATCAAGCTTCATGCTGAGCCACTGGTCAACATTGCTCCATTCCCATTTCCTGGGAGGCAGCTCTCAATGAGGACACACACTGAGCATGAAATTCAACATCAGCTGCAGTGTAACAAAGACCTCTAACCAGGTACTGTGCTCACCCTCTACACAGCTGCACTGCTACCTGCCCTGCAGTGAGTGTTGGAGACATGGGCCATGTACAGCCGACACTTCAAATCCCGACAGAAACATCACCAGCAATGGCTCAGCAAAGTCCAGCCAACCCACTCACAGGATAAACACTCCAATATCAGTGTCCTTTATCGGGGCAATGGGTCCAGCATCGAGGCACTGGGACCTACCAATCAGCTGCACTGGGCAGGTCAGATTCCTATACAAGGCTCTCGGGATGAGCTGTTAGCTCTTGAGCTCTGTCACAGCAAGTGGTTACAGGAAGGCAGTGGGAATACTTCAACAACATCCTCAAAGCCTCCCTGAGATAAATGCGACATTCTGACCACCCTGTACGAATTTCTCACCCTGGTCCACCCAAACTAGGCAAGAAGCATCTGTGAAGGTTCTAACCGTCTCGGGCATATTGAACAGGGCCAGGTGCAGGCAGAGGGAGTGTGTGGAAACCAGAACGTCAGAGTGGAACAATGTCATCGTTAGTTTCAAGGGACTGCCTAAGAGGAAGAGGAGAAGCCACCAGAATCAGTGTTAGGGCCTCAGCAATTAACTAGTAGACAAAGGGACAGAAGATAATGTATCTGAGTTTGCTACTGATTCAAAACTTAGTTAAGACAATGTGTGGAGAACATGAAGAGGCTGCAAAGACATACACACAGGTTCAGTTCATGATGAGGAGGTGGCAGTTGAAGCCGGAGAATGAGTATTGAAGGGTTAGGCAGGTTGATGGGCTGTTTTCTGTCTCAATGCTATTTGTGGCGGTGTACATTTCATCAAGTGTACTCTTCACTTCTGTGTGGGATGGGAATGTCAACTGCTGTCAGGACAGCAGAAAATAACTCCTGCAGCAGGTAGTAGGGATGGCACTTCACTGTTAGATAGTCTAGGTCCAGGGAGAAGTAACTCACCAGGATTGTCACGTTTGAGCACCAGGAGGTGTTGATCAGGAGGCAGACCCCTCCACCCTTTGCCTTGCCTGAGGATGCCGTGCAGTCTGTCTGGTGAATTCAGAAGCCCTCAGGTTGTCAGGCAGAGTCAGGTGATGCAGGAATGAGCCATGACTCTGTAAACAGAGTACACAGCACCCTCTCAATTCTCTTTGATAGGTGAGTCCAGCTTTAAATTTGTCCAGTTTGCTTTCAATGGCTTTGGCATTTACCAGGAGTATATAGAACATAGAACATAGAACAGTACAGCACAGTACAGGCCCTTCGGCCCACGATGTTGTGCCGAACTTTTACCTTAAACCTAAGGTCTATCTAACTTCCACCCCTACCTTATACTATCATCCATATGCCTATCCAATAGCCGCTTAAATGCCCCTAATGAGGCCGACTCCACTACCCTCTCTGGCAATGCATTCCACGCCCCTACCACTCTCCGAGTAAAGAACCTACCTCTGACGTCTCCCCTATATATACCTCCACTCACTTTAAAACTATGCCCCCTCGTAATAGCTACCTCCACCCTAGGAAAAAGTCTCTGGCTGTCTACTCCATCTATACCTCTGATCATTTTGTACGGCTCTATCAAGTCACCTCTCATCCTTCATCATTCTAAAGAGAAAAGCCTTAGCTCTCTCAACCTTTTCTTGTAAGACCTTCCCTCCATTCTGGGCAACATCCTGGTAAATCTCCTCTGCACCTTTTCCAATGCCTCTACATCTTTCCTGAAATGAGGTGACCAGAACTGGACACAATACTCCAGATGTGGCCGAACCAGGCTTTTGTATAGCTGAAGCATAACTTCACGGCTCTTGAACTCAACCCCTCTATTAATGAAAGCTAACACACCATACGCCTTCTTAACAACTCTATCCACCTGGACGGCAGCTTTCAGGGAACTGTGAACATGAACCCCAAGATCCCTCTGCTCCTCCACACTGCTAAGAATCTTTCTCTTAATTGTATACTAGGGAAGGGGGATTTGAAATTGTATTGTTTTAGTCTCACCTGCAGGCCAGGGTGTCTCCCCTATTTCCTGGGGCAGTTGGTGTTTCTGGTCGGGCTCAGGAGTGGGAGTGGATGGTTTGCTGCTCTGGAAGGTCAGTGGGTGTGTGCGGTGGGCTCCTGGGCACTGCTTATAGCCTCGGGTGCTGTGGAGAGCCTTGTTCTCATTCTCAATGTCAGGCCTCAATGTCAGGACTCCGTAAGGTTGGGAGGCCTCCACTTCAATTAAATATCCTTCAGGGTTTTGTAGAGTTTTCAGAAGAGCTCCAAGTCTTTGATGATTTTGGATTTTATAGAATTAAGGAAAGTCAAGGGGAAAGGGAAACACAATTTCTCAAATGGATGCTTAGGACTGTCGGGTATGAGGCAGTTAATTGTGAGCTGGTCAATGTTAATAACTGGAATTGGGCTATAGGTAACAGAGGTGTGAGCTGGTGCATCGGACATGTTGGAGATCTGAAAGAGTTGACTTTGAAGGGGCTGATAGAAACAAGACCACATTGCTATAGGGAAAACAATGAAGCAGCTCTTCACAGTGGCTTGTGCATTATATGGCTGGCAGGAAGTCAGAAATGCTTCTCATTGTGCCCAAAGCAAATACTCACAATGCTGGAGAGAGTTGACGTTGCTGTCTGATAGGCATCCAAGATCAGATACTCATCAACATCAGTTAGGGAAGGTGGGATCTCGAGGACCATCGACTCATCCTTCACTTTCCCTGGCACCTTTACCAGGTTTTTCCCTTTTTCCTTCACTGCCAGACTGGAGGAGGGAATCCGATAGGGAACGAGCGGTACTCTAAAAGAGAAAGAACATAATATGACCAGGAATAACGTCAAAGGCCCCCATTCAGCTGACAGAATTTTATCTATTGATTGATGGGACGTGGGTGTCACTGGCTGGGCCAGCATTTATTACCCTTCCCATGTTGCCCCTTAAAAAGACAGGGGTGAGCGGCCTTCTTGAACCACTGCAGTTCTGTAGGGAGACCAACAATACTATTAGGGAGGGAATTCCAGGATTTTGACCAAGTGACGGTGAAGGAACAGGGATATATTTCCAAGTCAGGATGGTAAGTGGCTTGTAAGTTATCAACTGTCTCAGGGATTGGTGAACCGGGGCTAAGGTTATTGTGTAAGTGATTGTATACACAAGGTTTGTGTCTTAATCCACACCAACACTGGTTTCCATAAATCCCTGTGCTGCTCAGATCCACTGACTCCCAACTCAGCAATTTCTTCATTGTGAGCTCTAATCATTATTCCTAAATCCCACAAGACGGCCTGGTAAACAACTAACTTTGTAATCTCCTCCAGCCCACAACATCGGACCCTTGCAAACATCCAATTCAGGCCATGTCACTGTTCCACATTTTAGTGTTTAAATACGGACAACCTCCTATGCCTCCACAACACTGAGCATGAACACTCCAGCTCTCTGTAACACTGACCGTGAACACTCTGTCCCTGTGTAACACTGACCATGAGCACTCTGCTGCTTTGTCACACTGACCGTGAACTCTCTGTCCCCGTGTAACACTGACCGTGAACTCTCTGTCCCCGTGTAACACTGACCGTGAACACTCTGTCCCCGTGTAACACTGAAAACGAACACTCTGTCCCCGTGTAACACTGAAAACGAACACTCTGTCCC